ATATGGAAGTATATAATAAAACAAAATGTGTGTTGAATTATGAAACTGTGATGGATTATGTGTGCATTTACAAGTTTGGTGTTATATGTATAGTTATTCATAGAAATTCATTGAAAACTTAAAAATATGAGTTTATTTACAACATTATCTTTTATCTGCGAGCGTTTAAATTATACACATCCTATTGCGATTTTATAGTAATGTATATTATTTATTTTTTTCCTCTTGCTTTTCCTAAAAATTGTGATCATATTTAGGAAAAGCAAGAGGAAACAGAAAAAAAATAGTAGAGAAATGGGAGCAAATTTAAGAAGAGATAATAATAAACCACAAAAATAAACTGCATGATATTAAATGAAGTATAATTATTATTTTGAGGAAACAATTTTATAATCATATAATCTTACTATTATATGAAAATTAATCACAAAATAAGTAATTAATTTAGTAAAAACTTAAAAAAGAAATGCCATGACCTATAGGAAGTTGATTTAAATATTCAACAGTGTTAAAATAATTTTAACGAATATACATTTGTGTTTGGTTTGGTGAGAAGGATGTATGCTAGAAATTTTTGGTTGATAATTTAATGAGTTATATAATTTCAAGAAGATAAGGACGAGACATTGATGTTCATTTATTCCGTCAACCTATTTACCTGTGCACGTGTTTACCTGTCTACCTGATCACTTGTCTTCCTGTCCACCTGTTTAATTAAATATTTAAAGAAAAAACTAATTCATTTAATAACTTATATTTTGTTTATTAAAATATGATTTTAAAAATATATACAATCAATTGTTTAATCTTTAGGCGAGGACTGAATTTTAGTACAAATATAACAAGCCGAAAACGTTTTCTCATTCTACACTTATCGTCACAATTGTCATAAAGAAATAATCTGAGTACATTATTAGTCGATATGAATTAGTACTTGCAAGTGTTAGTATAGTGTATTTATATTATAACCGATTCATCATTAGACATTAACACATCATAAAGACTTATAGTAAATTATTATATTTTCTGATTGTCTAATAAATAAATAAAATAATTCTACATGAACGATTTCTAAGAATCTGCAACGTACGCAAATGAAAGAGGCCATCCACCACCAACGCCAATATTATCATTGATTATCAAACTATACGATATATCACTCGATGATTTGACTTTTTGACATTTTTGATATAATGAAATAATAAATAAATACGTATGAATGATATGAAGATATACAATATAGAGAATTATAATGTATCGTTTGTATATTTTGTTTAAAAATCATTGCTAACAAATTAGATATGAGGACAATGCCCGTGGACGACTAATAATAATTTTTATAATTGGTTTCGTATTTAATATATAAACAATCGCTTTATCTTGCCTATGTGTCATACTCGGCTGCGTTGAGTTGGCAATACACATACACAGTATAAAATTTGTTTGCGTATATAACGTATGTTCAATTTTTAATAAAATACAGGTAATTTCAAAATACCGGTATTGTTGTATGAATACCGGTATTGAAAACCATAAAAAAATCGCCCGGTATTCAGGACTACCTTTTATTTAGCTGGTTAAACTATCAAGTAGTGAAACTACCGGCCCCGTTTGTGATAGTAAAGCACTCGTTTCGATTTTTAGATTTTGCTGCTTTTCTTGCACTCTGTGTTGTAAAACTGCGGTAGGATATTGTCACACTAAACAATGCTGGATTGCGTTGAAATTCAACCATACTCTTATTACTGTTATAGTTATTATTATCATTAGACCATGCCACAGTCCTTCAGAAAATTCTTAAAATACCCGACATACCATTATAGTATATAAATTAGGATCGAGCGATTCCATAATACCACACATAACGGCGTGTAATTATTCAGGAAAGCCAGCCGTGTTTTAATTAAATACAGATTTGCCAATCGGCGTAAAGTGTAACTGCCTAATTGCAAGTTGACCATTAATATAGCGTGCATTGCGAAATACCAGGGGACCAATAAGGTTTACATGCGCAAATGGATAATATGCCGTTTGAAGATATATTTGCTATAAATTTCAATTTTATGATCGGAATGCGTTATGGGCATTCGGTGAGAATAATTACTTTAACGGGATTAGTTATAAACATTGATCGTCGTTCAAGTTGCTGCGTAGTAGCCTATAAAATATAATGATTTTTGGAATGTTAAGAATTCTTGATAATGAAGGTTTGCAAAATTGACCAATGTTAATTGGAAGTTTTTATACAAAGTGGTTATAAATACTTGTAAAAGCTATGTGGTTGCTTTGCTGTTATGCGTTTCAGAGAGGAAACCTAAACTAGAAACTCACAAATGTTAAAAAAGTGATTATATGACAACTGCGCCTCTGTGATATACCTTGTTAACATACAAGTGAAGTTGCAGCTTATGTGTAAAACGCCTGATCGTACAGCAAAAACATGATATTTTGACACTATTTAGTAGCATTTTGTGTGCTAACTGGAACGTAACATAGCCTTGCCGTAACATTGGTCTATTTTACGGCAGTATCAGCCCATACATTTCCTAATAAAGAATGTTTTATTAATTTTGTATCATAAATGATATTCGAACATACTAGATTGTTAATAATATTAATACAAATTATATGTAACTTGGAGCAACTCACTTTTGCTTATAATTTCTTGTTAAGGGGGTTGTTCTTTTTTTTGTTACGAAAAATGCAATTTATCATAGAGACATGCGGTTTTTTTTTAAACAAAAATTACAAAATCATAGAATATTAAGAAATTTTATATTTTTTTGTCGCCGTCATTTGTTAACCAGGGGGCGCCAAAGTGGGCATTGCAAAATCGATCTCTTTTGCGGTGCCACAGATAAATCCGTTGCGCATCGCCTGAAACAAAAAATTATGTTGAAGAAGAAGTTTGAATCCAGTCCCACTACCAAAATGAAAGAAAAAAAGCAAGAAGGAAAAAATTGGCAGCTATTTAAAACAAAAGTGTTAAAAAGGGCCTTTTTTATGACGAGAAGCCTCGCAAAATTTTTTTGCGTAATGTTATGAAGTTGTTTGAGGTATGGAGACTAGGTATTGCAGTGGTGAACAAATTAAAAAAATGCAAGTCGATCCGACTTGTTTTTTTTTAATGAAAAAAGTCAATTTGAGAAAAACGTATTTAAAGTTTTTAATATAATGTACCAAATACATCATTTAATTTAATGTACCAATACACCATGGTGTTCAAAGATGCTGGCACATTAAAAAGGTCATGTGCATGACGTATTATAATGAAAAAGAGAGCAGCTGGCATAGAATAGCTCGCGGAGCGATGAAAAAAACGGTTTCAGAGGATCATACATATAGAGAGATATATATCTATAACTTCGTCGAAAAAAAAGATATTGAAATGATTTTTTTTAAATGATTCTAAGGTTTTCAGCATTCATAATATAAAAAAATCTCAAAATCGAAAAAAAAAACGAACAACCCCCTTAACTGTTAGTTTATTTCATAAAATTTATTTCATTCATTTTCATTGATATTTGATTTTACCTCTGTAGTTATGGCTTAACATATATTCTTTTATTATTTTACATTTACTTTTAATTATGATCCATTGATTTATTAATTATGCTGAATATATTTTTATAAGTTTCTAGTAATAACTTCATGTTTTACTAACTACCAGATAAAGTTTGTTTTCACAAGATTGTCCGACTACTTAACTTTATATATTTTCTCGATGTTTCAAGTCATTTTGAATCGTTTGATATCAAACTTAGGATTAGTATATACGTATGTGTATCAAAAATCTGTTCAAATGACATTGGTTGCGAATCATGGTCAATATAGTTTCTGGTATACATCGGCTGATCAGTTTCTTTGTAATTAATTGTGAAACGGTTTTTGAAGGTAAAGGTCACGGTCTCGAAGGCTAAAATATTACTACTTGTAATTTCGAAAATTAAAACCGCAAAAATTTCGAAAATTTTATGAATTTTTCAGATATCAGAGAAGTCAGTATTATTTCATTATATAAATTGAGTTAATCATATCAGATACTTTAATTTATATAAATATTTATTAAGTTTAACATTATTCATTTATATGAATTAATCTATGATTAGAAAGTGTTATTGACTTCCCGTTTTTTCGTTCACGTTTTTGGGCGTACGAATCAACCGATTTGAATAGTTCAAAAAACATTTGATTTCTATTGATAGGGAGATATGCTGATGAGTTTTTGTCAAAGACAGGTCCAGCCGTTTCGGAGATACAGAGCAAAGAGTGCAGAAAATAGAAATCGAGTTTTTGAGAGATCGGAGCATCCGATTTGAATGATCCAAAAATGTGATCACTTATTGGCAAAGGCAGGTCCAGCGCTTTCGAAGATACAGAGCTAAATGTGCAACAAATGGCAGTTTTTGAGAGAACTAAGCGTCCGGTTTAAATGATTCAAAAAACTTTCTGCCTGTTTTAACAAAAAAATTGCGTCTGAAAAAAAAATTTTTTTTCTTTAAATTTTTTTTAAATTTTTTTAGTTTTTTTTTTGTATATATAGTAATACTGTAATTCTGACTTGAGTTCTAATATATTATAAACAAATATATTCAACTTTGCAATTCAGTTTATATAATTCTTATCAATATTAGACAATGTTACAGTATTTATTTATAATAATCTATTTGAAAACATTAAATATTCCTCGAACATTTTTATGATACGGGAAGTTCCAGCAATTTTCCTTAAAGCACGTTGCCATACAAACCACTAGTTTAATTAATTATTATACTTAAAATATGTGAGAATAACGTAGCCAGTCGTTTTGTTAACAAAAGTGATATAACTCAATATATGAAATTGATTAGCCCAGTGCAAAATAAATTACTCATTGTTAGTATAAAATATTTTTATGTGCTTGCCCTGTTACACACTTGTGTCTTATATTGTTGTTTCATTTAATAGTCTCTGAAAACACTTTTAAAAATTGAAATACATAATAGTTTTTTTTATTTCAGTTTTGATGTAAGAGGCAGATCCTTCCACAAAGCCTTGTATTGGTCTGATGAACAAGCTTTTGGTCCACGTGCCTATTTTGTGGCCGTTTCCAGACCTGCCGCCTTGACGATAGATGCGGTCCAACTGGACGATGAAGGAGTTTATAGATGTCGTGTGGATTTTCAAAATTCTCCAACACGGAATTTTCAGGTCAACTTGACTGTCATAGGTGAGTTGATTTACAACAACATTATTGATACAATATAGCACGTCATATAAAACAATATTTCTGCTTTATATTAATAATCTACTTTTCAACTAAACAGAGCTTAATCATGATGTTTGCAAAATTTAAAGAATCTTTGGTTAAATTAATTTGGTAAATTTTATTTCAAATATATTATATTAAAATTGTAGTTTTTAGTGTGATATAGGTACTTTAGTATAGTAAACACTAATTTCCACGCGTATTTAATATCAGTCACAAAAATGTTCATAAATATAAAGTGACCACATTTGGCTAATTGTAAGTCAAAACCGGGACGAAAATTTTTAGTTATAGTCCAGTCATTTGTGCCTAAATTAAGTAAGAATCTCGGAATTCGAGGTACCAGCTGTAAGTTTGTAAATACCCTAAAGTAGCACCGTGAAAATTGTCTCAAAACATAAATATGGAACACCCTACCATATGTAGGTTTTGAGACAACTTTTAGGGTGCTATTTTAAGGTATTCACAGACTTACAGCTGGGTATCACGAATTCCGAGGTGAACTCACTATAATGACTGGACTATTTTGCTAATATTAGATGCGAGGGGGGTGAATCATTAAAATAACAAATATGCTATATTAGGACACCATTATAAACCAGTTTTTTATTTGAATCAATTTTTGAAAAGAAGAATTGCGGACATTTGAAAATAACTTTATTATTGGATTACTTGTAGTACTTTTTTATCTATATTATATTTTTGATCTATATGTTTTTTTGCTTTTGAGTTCTGTATGTAATTCTATTAAATTTTTTTCATAACCAGTTTGAAAACAGAATACCACATTTTTTTTGTTTTCATAATTTTTATTAATTTACTAATAAGTTTTTGAAAAACCGGGACAACCCGGGACAAAAAATCTTTTTTCAGAACACAGGATGGAAGTTCGGGACTGTCCCAGCCAAACCACAACATATGGTCACCTTAATAAACATTTATTACATCCTATCAATAGTAGTTTATTATTTGCACTTTCCAAAGAAGAATTTTATATCGTTAACAGAAAATTCCATCCTCAAGTTGTTTTGACGTTCCAAGTAATTTTGAATCGTTTCAAACCAAATTTGGAAAACGTATGTGTTTTCTCAAAAAACGGCTGCAACGGTTTTAAAAATATGTACGTTATTTTATGTAACTTGAAAAAGAATTGCGTTGACTAATTTTTCGTAACGATCTTCTGATCTGTTTCATTAGAATCAGCAGAAAAAAGCCATTTTTTTGACTTCGTTTTAGCCAAAAATTCGGAATCGATTTTAAAAATTCAAACACTGTTCGAAAGGTATTAGTTGGAAATAGTTTGTTGAATTTTTTGGCATATTTTATAAATGTTTTATAATAAAAGAGTCTTAACGAATATTTTAAAATATTGTATGATTACAAAAATTGTTTTTATTATACAAAATTATTAAAGATTGGTATAATTGATCGTGTCAATATTTCAAATTTTTCTTATCGCGAATTTAAGTGATACTAAGCTTAATTCTTATTGTCGAATTATGCTTTGAAACTTTTCTCAGCGCCTTAAAATACCAAGTACATCACTAGTTACAAAATATCATGGATTCCAAAATAAATAGAACGTAGAAAATTTACCAAGGTTTCATCAATTGATAGATATTGTAATGTGTAAAATACTTTTACATAAAAATTATATATTCAAATATCCTTACCTTTAGCATCGTTGAATAAAACCTGTAATATTGTTTTAATCAAATTTGCGCCCAATCCTTCAAATTCCTCTTAGAGTCAGTAAATCCGTTCCCATTTATAACTCGGCAACAAGGTAAATGGATTCGGGAATCCCTATGGCCTTACAGGGATTGTCATTAAATCTTCCGTAGTGCCAATTCAATCTATAGCAAATGTCACACTAATCCGATTCGCGTCATCCGCAATAATGCTCAGAATTTCAAAAGTTAACATTAAAACTTGTTAAGCAAATCTGAATACTTCACAACTGGCCCTACTCAGGACGGAGTTCCTGATGCAATTAAATTCGGACGACTTAATGCAATCTATTTAGAGACACCCGTTGGTAATTGTTGAGGGTTAGAAAATGAGATGGGTTAATTTGATTTTAGTGACAAACTGTGAAAATTTTTATTTAATATGTTTCGTGTTTTCATGTAGTCAGGGTAAAATTCCATTTATTAAATGTTTTTCTGTCTATGTTCGTCTCATTATATGTTTTGCTTTAAGAATTTTGATACAAGCTATTAAACAAGAACTTGAAATATTTTGCATTTTATGCAAATCTTTAAATCATAATAAAGAAAATAAACAAATATTGCTATTTTCAATTAACGTTCTTTAGCGAAAAGTATCCAATTAATTAAAATACATATCTGTTTTCTCCTATGCGGTTCTTAATAACACAATGTGAGCTACTGATAATTGAATATGAAGTAGATAAAAAATGATCCAAAATTTACTGTTTTGGTATAGAGAATATGATTTCTTATGTTAGCACAGAAGCTTTCCAATAAGTATTTGCATCTTCTTCAATATTTGATACTTAAAAAGAGAATTACAAAAATAATGTTATTATTAGTTTATTAGAATTTTCGTCATTAACTTCCCGTAGCTGAATGTACTTTGCATAGCTTGCTATGTATAATAAATCAAAAAAAAAATAAAAACTTCCCGTAGGGTAAGTTATAGTAATCGCAAAAAATCTGAAATGAAATTTTTTATATAACTTCACGTTTCAATGGTTTCTGAATATTTTCACATATCTTAGAAAAAAATTTAGGTATGTGTGTATGTGTGTATGCGGATACAAATTTTTGTCGACGATTTCGGGAACACCGATCAAATCAATAATTCAAAAAACCATTCGATTCGTATCGATAAGGAGACGTGCTGATTAGTTTTCGGCGAAAGCAGGTCTAGCCGTTCCGAAGATACTGGGCAAAAAGAGAACGGAGCGTCCAATTTTAATAATTCAAAAAACATTTTACTTGTATTGACAAAATGAAAAACTAATTAAATTGTTGGGAAGGCAAGTCCAGCGGTTATTGACTCTCGACAAAAATAAGTTAAATAAATGTCATTTGGCGGTCAAAAATGGTCATTAGACATATGCAAATTAAATTATCAGATATTTTATAGAGATTTTAATAATTTGCGCACATTCTGTGTAAATTTTTTTGGGTTCTGTGCCAAGATTTCTAATTACGGCATGGGAAGTTCCAGCAATTTGCCTTAAGGTTCCTAATGCACCCCACTAGTTAACTTCCCGTAGGGTAAGTTATTGTAATGGGCCGAAAATCGGAATTGAAAATTTTAACATTTCTCGACGTTTTGAAGGTTTCTGGACATTTTGGCATACCTCAAAAAAAAATGGATGTGTGTGTGTGTGTATGTGTGTGTGTGTGTATGTATGTATGGATACAAATTTCCAGTCACGTTTTAGGGCGCACGGATCAACCGATTTGAATGGTTCAAAAAACATTCGATTCCTATTGATAGGGAAAAGAGCTGATTAGTTTTTGGCAAAGGCAGGTCCAGCCGTTTCGGAGATACGGAGCAAAGAGTGCAGAAAATAGAAATCGAATTTTTGAGAGAACGGAGTATCCGATTTCAATGATCTAAAAAACATTCAATTAGTAATGATTGGGAGAAGTGCATATTAGTTTTTGGCAAGGAGCTGAATATGTAAAAAATGGCAGTTTTGAGGAAACTAAGCGTCCGATTTAAATGATTCTAAGAACTTTCTGCTTGTCTTAATAAAATAATTGATTTTGGAAAAAAAAATTTGTTCCATTTTTTTTTTGTTTTGTTTTTTTTTTTTTTTTAGTTTTTTGTATATCGAAAATATTTCAGATTTTATTTTTAATTCTGACTATAATTCTAATATACTTTACAAATAATTTCAACTTTGCAATTCAGTTTATATAATTCTCATAAATATTAGATAATGTTACAATATTTATAATAATCTATTTGAAAACATTCAGTATTCCTCAAACATTTCGTTACGGTACGGGAAGTTCCAGCAATTTGCCTTAAGGCACGATGCCATAATTGCCTCAAGACAGAATTCCACTCACAGCTAGTTTCATTTATGGATTGGCCAAGGGCTCGAATATTTTTTTGTCATGATCATAACATCTGGAGTAAAAATTCTCAATGAGCTTCTTTATATAGTCGTATACTAGTGTCTTGGCAGGGGTTCTTTTGATTTGCCTAGTACTAGTCCCAGTGCCTTGTTGTGTATTGCCTGTATTCTTCGTAAGTTTATCTCTGTTGTTAATAATATTAATCAAATTAATGAAAGATATAGTAACAGTTTTTAGGGTTAGCGGGCTTTTATGGTTCACAAGAGGTCTCAGCATATTTATCATTCCTCTCCAAGGTCAAGCCAAGATATTTTAATGTCAATAGTTCACTTCCAAAACTTGTTATTTATGTTTTTACATTCAATATTTCGATTAGAGATGGGTAACTCACTTCGGAGTTGTCACTCCGATACAACTCCGCCCTCAGAGTGAAACTGGCATTAAATCTGTTAACTCGTGCAGACATTTACTGCGTTTTTGCTTTGGGAAGGGAGCGGTTGCATTCTCGTCTTACAGGCATTTTTATGACCTTCTAGGTATACGAGTCAAAGTAATGCCATTGTGTATTTTCCAGAAAATACAAAAATATTACTTCAAAGAACAATGAAGTTGTGATCAAATGTGACAAGCTAAAATGTATAATTTATTAAATAGTAAGGGGTCATATTTATAACTAAAAGAATTTTTGTCCGTGAATGAAGGAAATCAGGAATATACATATCAAAAAATACACGAAACGAAATATATTTAATCTGGTTTTTCCATAGCCTGAAATAACAATAATTTAGAGTGCAAAATTTATCAGTGATAGCATTAGTATTTAAGCAGCAAAAATATTTAGTATTACACAATATATTTAGTATACACAATAATATAATTATGTAAAAGTAATAATAT